AGATTAATGAATTCCTCTTTAGGACGTTATGTTACATTCTTGACTCAGCTACAGTATAATACAGTCAAGCAGTTTTTACAATAATCTTATTTTCATGACGTATGTCCGTTTTTTACATAGGTATTCCGTATTGAACCGAGACCCTGTATGAAATAGATGAATTGATTCCATAAAAGATATCCTGGGACTATTCATGTTATTACAGTGAAATTCTAAACTATACAGTGTAATTAAAACTGCAGGCAAGACTTAGGACTGCAGGAAGAGATAACTACGGGAATATGTGGTGCCTACGTACCTCTAAATTATTTATATATTATGTATTCTCCTGTGTACTGCCTGTGTGTTGTGCATAAATAAATAATTAAAATGTATAAATTCTTAGACCTGTAAGAGTCGGTCAGTCTTTTGGTAATAGAAGTAATTTTGAGTGAGGAAATACTTGTGGTTATTTCAATTGTATGTGCTGCAATGAAACATACAACTTGTCTTATTACAGTTCTCATTTGTCGAAGTAATTTGCATACATATTATTAGGAAATTCCACGCTGTTGTGCAAAATTATCAAATTTAATGGAACGAATCAATTGCTAGAACATACCTACTAGCAATGACGAAAAATTCGTTAAGCATTCTTTGCAAAAACTAATTTTATATGGTTACATAAGTAATGTACTAATATATAAGTACATACATTTGTTATAAATTAATTATAGCTGACTGGCTCATTGTTGCCTGTTCGTACCTACATACGACTACCGAGATTGGGGTACTATATTCAATTTTTTGTTATTTTCTTTGAGGAAAAATATCATCAAATGATTTTTTCCGCTTTGGGTGAGGCGATAGGGACTGTCATAACCAAAGTGACTAAAAAGTACTACTTATACTTTAAGCCGGAGCCCCAGTAACCTTGTCTTGATAGGTTATGGAAAATGACCCTAATGCCGGAATACTGAAACGTTACTCAATTTGAAGTCGTGCTCAAATATCGTGCCATCTCTGTCATTTTACAAAGAATTTGTAGAGATAGAACTATACAAACACGACTTAGAATTGAGTAGCGTTTCAGTATTCCGACGTAAGTCCAGCAAAGACTCAGGAATTACATTTAGGCTGCACGGTGGGAGCGGTGGCTGAGCAACGTCTGGCTGCTGCGCAACGTGTCGCCGGTTTGATTCCCGCACGAAACAACTCTTTGTGTCATCCACAGATTGTTGTTGCGGGTCTGGGTGTAATGTGTATGTTTGTAAACGCACCCACGACACCAGGAAAAAAGCCTAGTGTGGGGCAAAGTTATAAAAAATACATTTAGTATTTGAGTTGGTTTGATTAAGCAATAAGAGAATGATTTTGTAAACATGAGTACCATAGATATAATAAAATACCATAGATATAATAAAGAAGCAATATTTTTGTGGTGAATACTCTACCTAGTACATCTTTGTTGAATAACTGTCGTTATGTTATGATGAATGTACGCGAGCAATGTTATAATATACAATTATCACAATCGCAATAACGTCATAAGCATAAGTAGTAGTAGAGATTAATAAATATTATTGTTTCCATTTTCCTGGATCGCGTAATTGAATGCGTAGGAGTTGAGATAGGCCGTATTGAAGGAAACTTCGCGTAGGTATTGTTTGTGACGGTTTGATATTATTATGACCTTATAGTAGATATTTCCTTCAAAAGGTTACTATCAATGTCATCTTTATTCATAATAATATCATAATTATTGGCGCGGTTCGATTCCCGCACGGAGCAACTCTTTGTGTGATCCACAATTGGTCTGGGTATCATGTGTATGTGAAAATATATGTTTGTAAACGCACTCACGGTACATGAGAAAATTCTAGAGTTTCCTTCTCTTTTTCTCTTTAAAAAAACATTGCCCCAGCGTTTTAAAAAGAGAAATAATGTGAATATTTTTCGAATAAAATATTTACATTATACCATTACCGGTATCTGGAAATCTAAATTCATTAGATGCAATGAAATATATTAGGTGATTAGTTCTTATCTACCTTTGCATTATATATTTCCAGCTAATTTAGTTACCTAGACAATTTTAAGGCATTGGCTGCCAATAAAAAACTGTTGAAGGCAAATCCTCCGCTAATGTCGGTCACCGGTGACTGCCATGGCGTTTAACGTGTGTACTCATATTTCTAAAAAGTGTTCAATATAGTTATATAGTTTATTATTGCTATTTTAATAAGACTTTGCGTCCATAGGTACCTACCATTGCAGAAAGGAAAATATGAATTCAATAATAACAATACTGATAACTCTGAATGGCTCATACACCATAAATGAAAAACAAATAGCCATATTCATAGCCATTCATTTATTATTTATTTAAAGCTAGCATTAAGTGGTGATGATCCAATTGCGGTTATGGTATGGATCAATCATTTCTGCTCTGAATGGAACTTTCAAGTACCTACCTATGTAAAGACCTATATACAAATACAGGCGCCAATCAAACTACCCACACATAGCAGTAAATTTTGAACTTTATTATAAAAGTCTAGAGTTCAATATCTATTAAAGAATTGCGACAGATTGTGGTACGTTCATGTGCTGCCGTTTGAAGGTATATTTTGGATGTGCGTGACTTCAGTCGCTTTCAAAGGTTAGAAACGTTAAAATTCATTTCGGTAAAACACGTCAAATGTTGCAAAGTGCACTCTCGATTGGCATAGATCAAGGATATTTGAAACATGGAAGAAACAATCTAATGATTTGATTGCTAAGATTCATATTCAAATAAATGCAAAAAGGTCTATTATCTGTAATTAAGTTATTTGCAGCTGGCTGGCTATCATAAATTCATTATGTTCTTCATGGTATTGAGCAGAGAAAAACAAAATGGAGGCGCAGCTGCAAAATCGATTTCAATTGACATTTGTTAAGAGTTTGTTCATTTCTTATTTGCTTTGATTTTGATACGGATCTTGCACCCGCATCTTAAACAGATTTTTTTATAATTGACATCAACTTGGCGAATGATTTTGAACATTAAATGGCGGTTTATCACGGCCCAATCATTGAACCTGGCAGTTTAAAAGTTAATGCTAAGTAATCTGCAATGAGAATTCGTTTGCATATAAAATTGATTATCGGTATATTAACAAACCTTAAGATTTCGCACATAATCTTTGGCAACAATTTGATTTCAGTCACAAAATAGAATAGCTTTAGGTACTGCCTTGAATAACATCACGCCTATTATCCCCAAAAGGTAGGCAGAGGTGCACATTCCGGCACTTGATACCACTTTAAAATGTAACACATAAAAGTCACATTTGCGACCACTCGGACGCCGAGTCAGTCAGAGTAGTTCATAGTTAAATTAATAACATACTAACTGAAAGAAATCAGTTTTAATATAAAATATATAATATTGCTGAGTAAAATGGGTGCACAGAATGGTGATAAAATCAATATACCTATTAAACAGCTTCTCACATTTTATTGAATATGTTACTAATCCTTTGGCCCACACTTTGGCTATAATTGGTAAATCCTGTCTGAGTTCTCGATAACAAACCCGGTTTCCATCTTAGGTGATGCAGAAAACTTAATAACTGTCGTTTTAAAGATGCAATATGTATTATAATTTTTAGACATCCGTGTCGATCGATGTTTGTAACGGTTTTCATTCCTTATAGTTCTAGCCGTTAATTCAAATGTTATTCTGATAGCAAAATGTTTAAAGGAAATTGGTTGTTTGTTCGATTTATGTTCGTAGGGTACCTTAACAAGATTTAAATATAATGTTTCCTTTTTGAAAGAAAATAAAGAAAAACGGTTTATTTTCACACCGTCATAAAGTACCTACAATAACACACATAAATGAAACAGTGAAGACGGCGCAAAAAAGCCAGAACTCAGCTTAAATATTTAAGCTTTTTGTGGAAGTAGTATACAGAAATACCTAATTACAATGTAGTGGTAAGATTTTCAGCTTTATACAGGGCACAATTTGAATCTCATTGCTGTTTTCAAAAAGCTCAATATTATCTACTTTTATAGACCTGGGAATAAAATCTATAAGACCTCTTAGCAGTACACTTGTACCCATACAACCAATAACATAATAAAATAATAATAACACATCATACTCAAAACACGTTTTAAGATTAGGCGCCATGTAATCAGGTTGTATATTATAGTGCAGATGGCGCACAAAACGGCCAAATTAATAGATCTAATCTTTCGTATCATTTGCACAACAATATCATCTAAATATCTACTAGAGATTAATCGCTCTAATGGATTGATGCAAGTCACAATAGGAACCGCAACATGCATACGGTATAGGCAATGAAAGAGGGTGCGGGATGAATGCACGCCGCTGACGGGGCACAAATAAATCTACAACAAAACCAAGCTATAATAAATCGTATTACAAGGTACTAAGGCTTTTGGTAACAGCAAATAATATTTGGTGCGGTTGTCTGCTGAAGTGTGGCGGGCGAGGGTTCAAACTGCGAGGGAGCATAGAAAAGCGAACGAAACGATACGTTATTTTTTGTGCAAATATTTTTTAAGCATCTATTATCTGTTTCCAGATGATTGGAGTTCGTATATTTAATTTTGAAAACGTGACATCAAATGTAATTTAATGTTTGTTTTTTTTATGTTCAACGGACATTTTGGTCGTCATAACAAAGAACTCTATCTACATACATCAGCTGAAAACATGAAGTGACAATGGTGCAATAAAACATATACAGAACAGTTAATTTTCTAATCAAAATAGATATTGTAATGGACCTAATGGTTTTAGAACACAGCACAGATTTCAAAACCAACGGTTTATTTTATGATTGCAGACATTTACATAAAAAACATATGATCTACTAATTGCTTTATCGATATCATTTAAGATGACCATTTAAAAACCGTTAAAAGAAAACCTATTTTAGAGACCCTGAAAATTAATAAAAAAATAACAATACAAAAAATAAAACCTAAACAATTCTTACCTTACAGAGTACAGACGAATTTATCCAAAACAGGCACGTTCGGTTGGCACAATAGATTTAAAAATAATACCATGTCGAATTTAACTTTCAAAAAAAGAATTTCCATACACTGACACAGGCACTGCAATAATAATGCACTCGATTGTACAAGATATCGATCGTGACGTATCGAGAATGCACACGATCGTAAGCCGGTAGGCGCAGCACAGCGGCACGTTCGTCTCAGGCGAATGTCGAATTAATACTAACATAACCTCAAATTTACGCGCCGCTCGAGAAATTGTTTATACTGTCTGTACACCCATAAATGGGGTTCAGTTGCGAAAAGGAAGGAAATATGAAAAGCTCCTTGTTAGACAAAGACAGAATGTTAACAAAGGTGTATTATAATGGGGGAGCCGACTGTACTACGGCCGCGTTTCTCGTTAACTGGCGTCCTTTATTACTTATTTAAAATAAAAAGTATGGGATCACCTTATTTAATTACAGGTGATTTTTGATCATACGTTTAAAACAGTGGCGAACGTCAATTACCTATATTAAAGTAATTGATTTAGGAAATTAATTTTAGTGTTCTGTTGAAAATATAAACTTTACATTAAACTGTCAAACACCAAGCGGTCACCGGTGACCGCAACCTATTGTTCTATAATTGTGTCTATAATGACGGTACTCGACGAGATTTATTAACTCGTCTGTGTTTTTGATTTTCGGAGGTGGGGGCGTGTACCGCCACCCACACTTCATGAATTATTTTATGATTATCACATGTCTCTCAGGACCCTTATTAATTGGCGGTTAAACTGTGCTAAGATAAAAAAAAACTCACTAAGATACCAAAACAGCAACGAAAACGTTATCTAATCTCGAATTTTGCGGTGATTTCATAAAAAAAAATAAAAACATGTGCAGTCAATATAATGGCAAGTGGCACTTGAGCGTTGAGACAAGTTGACGACAAAAAATCTTTTATTGCGTTGCGATGTACCTGCGCAGTGCGCACGTCTCCCCTGGGTCCGCTCGTCTGTTCCCATCCCATAGAAACCATTGAAGCGTGAGGAATGAATGATTTTAAACACCCGCTAACAAATACCTGCTTTAAATTCTTCCCGGTTTCTGTAACCTGTATCTATTTACTTATTGTGTTTTGTTATTGCTCAACTATACAAAAATATTTCTTTTATACGGACGGATTAGGATAAACAATTAATCATTGTGATATTAAAAACAACAACCAAATTTCTGCAAAATGCTCTAGCTACACAAACAAAAAACTATTTGGATCATCTGATATTCTGTTAATCTCAATGACAAAGTGTTCTTATAAGGCGACGTCGTCAGTTGTAGCAAAATCTATTATTAATTCAGTTTTAGTTATTGATGAGTGAAAGATAAGGCCAAGGTCTGGTAATAAGTCTGTAGGAGGAGAGCCCACGTCTCACGGCAATCCGTCTCGAGTCTCGCAGTACTCATCGGCGCCCGCGAGGCTGACGCTGACATATTATTTTATCGAAAAACAAACAAAAGCTCGTTTCTAAGAATGGGATAGGTCTTCATTATCAAATAGTACACACACCTATGCCACACATGTTTAAGTTATTTCTAAGTTACAAGCCTCGTTATCGATGCAGTAATATTTGTTTTACTTAGAAAGAATGTGACCACATTAAATCTCAATCAAGTTTAAAGTAATCTTACAACGTCCGTTTCCAATTTTTTGGAAGTATTTAAGTTTAAACGATTAAACCGCAGCTATTAAGTTTCCGCAGTTAGTTTGACTTTATGGCTCTATTCCCTGCATAAATATTTATAGAATGCTAAACATAAAATTAACAGCGTTTAATATTTAGCAGGCCTCCTTGACCTAAATGACCTTTATAAGGTATTTGTCAAGTCCATAAAGGTAAGGGGCTTAACGATCGTGTGTTGACTGGGGAACGTAGCGGTCGCGGTGGCGCGTGTTTCCTGCGTGTGCGCACCGTCTGGCGGGAGGGGGCACGTGCACGACTCCCAGAATGCGTGTCGTAAACGTTAGCTAGCCATGTTACTTCAAATATAGCATGCTCCATACAATAACACATACATAAACTTTATTTAAACAAGAGGTCCTGTTAAGCTAAACAAGTCAAACAACACGTTCGTTACACTACTTCATAAGCTGAGAAGTTAAACACAAAAGCTAAGTTTTAACCCGCATTCGATGAATTTCGATAGTAATAATCGATTGTCGAGTTCAAAACAAAAAGTTTGTTAGAATCGATCAAGCGTTACGTGGACCCACATGTGAGATCTACAGATAGGAGCCCGCTGTATAGTGTTGTGATATAAACCCGCCTGTAGGTGTGGGCGGTTTATTTTGTTTAGACCCTTCTAAACACGACGAGCAGTGACTGAAGGCGTCTACATGGCGGCGATCGAATTTGTGTTTATTAAAATAAAGCGTCACGTCGTCCCTCAGTGAATGTCTTGATTAAATACCAGAGTTAAAAACAAACATGGCGAACCTACCTTTTTGGAGAATAGATTAGGTTTTCTGTAATCTTCTGAAGATAACGGTTTTGCGTAACTGCAATTATTATTATGGTTACTCCTTGTAATTTTTACCACTTTAAAAACAGGAAAAGTAAAAAGATTCTCTTTTCATTCGATGTTCTTCGTTTATTAAATACATTAGAATTCTCAACTATTTTTTTTTTCAATTTGAGGCGATATTTTTGTATCATAAGACAATCACTTGTTCATATCATCTTAGTCATTATGACCTGAAATTGAAGTATAACTTTTTAGAACGATTTTTGGTAAAAATGTACAAACGTGTCACTGGCTAAAATACTTTGCCAAAACAAAAGAGAGCAGACATTACACCCAGTACACCGTTTGATAATTTTCTACGTCGCATATGTGAGTAATAAGCTTTGTTTTAATTCAGAGTTGCCGGTCGTGTTATTGTTCCGGCCGGGTGCGTTGCACGGAAGCCGTTTGCCCGTAATCATAATCACGATTATAGCCGCATATTACGCGTTTTGAACTTCAAACATTCAAATGTTAATATTGCTAAGCTTATTATTATTGGTTTGAATGCATAATACCGGTTTGATTAAGCGAATAATAATCGTTTATTAGTTTGATTGTGATTTTAGCATGTACCTATTACACGTGTTGTATTGCTTGTCTGTTAGTTCGAGGTTTGATTGTGAATTATGAGTCTGAAGTTAGTTTTTGACTTAGGGACAAATTGTAATTTATTTTGTGGCACAACTGACATTAATACCTATCTCTATATTACATCAACAAACGCAATTGCAACCGAATCCAATTTCTATAATTGTTTATTAATTTTAATTCGAGTTGTTTTTTGCACTATATTACAAGTATTTATTTGTTAACCACATAAAAAAACTACTCTTCTTGTTACCTCCTAAAAACCTCTTCAATAAAGTATCACGGAACATTAAAACTAGAGAAACATCAAAAGATACTTTCCGTATTGATTTATATACGTTTCTTTGTATCGGACAGGAAAAGCCCGGTGGTCGGTCTTTGAAACTGACATCCCATACTCGTCATTCCTGTTGGTTGTGGAACAAAAGGTACATACATCAACAAACAACTGGGCGCTTGCTTCAAGAGGTTCTCGGAATTTCTGTGAGTTGAGTACCACTCCCTAGGAATGTTTATTAGGTATCGGAATAATATAATAATGATATTATACAATAAGAATGCTTGAATATTGTTTTTGTTAGGTGATGCTATACATCCTGTACAGGAAATCTCGATATTTCTCTTCTTAATTAACTAGTTGCTTATCATGCGATATTATATTAAACTTGTCAAAAGTTCGCATTACCTAAGTATACCATGTAGGTTGTAACATAGGCATCACTTATAATAAGCTGTCTTCTCTATTGTATAACTTAGTCGAAAGGTTTTATTGCGCCTCAAAAATACCAAAATCTATTAAAATAATAATACGTATTGAAATAGTATAATAGTCCTTTAGTTAGTGCGTGCACAATATGCGGTCCAGACCAGACTAGGAGCGGCGCCAGCTGCGAAGGTTACCACATTGTCCAATAATGCTATTTGTGTCACATGAACTTTGTACTGATCAAGGTTTTCGACGGTACGATATACTGCGCCTAGGCAATCTATTCAAACAAAGAACTAAACAATGCAATAAAAAAATGTGTTGTTAAATGTGTGCGCTAGTCGCGGAGAACCTAACGGGTTACCGGGGCTCCGGCTCGACGTGCAGGAGAAGGAAAGGGGTGATTTTTAGTCAGTAAGAGTCTGACACTCCCTCCTGCTTCACCCAGGCGGGGGAGCAGCAATTCGATGATTTTCCCCCCTTAAAAAATATGAGCGCAAAACTCAGTAATGACTGCAGGAATAATATTGTTTCACGCTTATTTAAATCTGGGATATAGTTTATAAGAAAAGTATTGGGAAAATCAAAACAATGTCTGTGAAATTAGCTGTGAATTAAAATGAATTAAACTGTGCTTGGTTAAATAAACCACTCTTGTAAAAGTCTACGGTTAATTAAAGATCTTGCGTAGGAAGAGGTTTATTGTATATCTTTTAAAATAAGTTATGTTCCGCTAGAGAGTTAAACTGCGACATAAGTTATGCGCTTTCACTTCATTTTCTATCAGTTTTCTTTTAAAAGTTGTTGAAAAGAATGTTAGATAAGACACGTGCGGTTCCGTTTAAGAGGACAGTTTCTACGATTTGCGTGTATGAATACTGTACGAATTAAAACCAGAGTGTTCTTAAGGACAGAAATAATTGTCTAACAACGTAAAGTCATTTTGTTAACAAATGTTAAGAACGAGACTGGGAAAATTAAAAAAAAATCTGTGCTCCATTTATGAAATCAATTTCATAATAATTTCAACTAAACATTGAACTATGAATAGCTGTGAATTTGTGATGTAAAACTATTTAAGTGCAGCGATAACTATTTATTATATCACCGGATACGCATATTCGGCAATTTTAATTAATACGAACGCTAATTACTTTAAATTTTTAAGAAACAATGTGGATTATTAGAAGTATTTATGTGCGGGAAAAATGGAATCCCACGGTCACGAGTTAGCAATGTAATCACTACACTAAATCTGAATGATATCATTGGGCCTTTGATCCGGGTCGCCTTGGCAGTTAAACGTTAAATTTGAACTTCCAACTATAAATAGAGATGTTTCCTCAATCAAAAATAAACTGGATTTGTC